GCAAACCAAAAAAATTACAGCAAATCATATACCTGATAAGACTCTAGCATCTAGCATATATTAAAAACTCTTACAACTCAAAAACAAAAAGGCAGAACCAATTAAAAAATAGGCAAAAGACTTGAATAGACATTTCTCCAAAGATATACAGATGGCTGAAAAGCACATGAGAAGACGTTCAATGTCATTAGCTATTAAGAAAATGCAATTCCAAACTTTAAGATACTGGCCAGGCGCGGTGGCTCACGCCTGTAATCCCAGCACTTTGGGAGGCCGAGGTGGGCAGATCACGAGGTAAGGAGATAGAGACCATCCTGGCTAACACGATGAAATCCCGGCTAACACGATGAAACCCCATCTCCACTAAAAATACAAAAAATTAGCTGGGCGTGGTGGCAGGTGCCTGTAGTACCAGCTACTCGGGAGGCGGAGGCAGGAGAGTGGCGTAAACCCAGGAGGCAGAGCTTGCAGTGAGCCGAGATCACACCACTGCACTCCAGGCTGGGCGACAGAGCAAGACTCCGTATCAAAAAACAAAAACTTTAAGATACTAAGTAGGATGACCATTTAAGAAAAAAACTACAAATGTTAGGATGAAAAGAAAACAAAGCCTGGCAAGAAAAACAGTGCAGCTGCTGTGGAAAACAGTTTGGCAGTTCCTCAAAAAGTTCAGTTTAGGTTTACCATATGACCCAGCAATTCCACTCCAAGGTATATACAAAAAGACTGAAAATAGGTATTTGTAAAAATACTGTACACAAATACTCACAGCAGCACTATAGCCAAAAGGTGGGAACAACCTAAACGCTCATTAACAGACGAATAGATGTACAAAAAATCATCTCTCCATATAATGGAATATTATTCAGCCATAAAAAAAGAATGAAGTACTGATACATGCTACACCATGAATGACTCTCAACAACATCATACTGAGGAAGGAAGCCACAAAGAAAAAGTCACATATAATTTCATTTACATAAAATGTCCAGAATAGGCAAATTCACAGAGAAGAAAGGCAAACTGGTGGTTGCTAGGGGACAGGGGGAATTGGGAGTCACTGCTTAATGGGCATGAGGTTTTCTTTTTGGGGTGATGAAAATATTTTGGGACTAGACCGAGGACATGGTTGTACAACAAACACTGGGGATGTACTGAGTACCACTGGACTGTATGTTTTTAAATGATTAATTTTATGTTATGGGAATTTTGCTTTAATTTTTAAAAAGAGAGCGGTTCTGTGGAATACCTAAGTATGTAATTAACATTTTGTTAATTAACAGCTCTCATAGACAAATGATAATCCACTAGAAAATATAAAAGATCTCTTTACAATACACAAAAAGCACAAAACACCTCCTTAGAATAAACTCAACAAAAAATGGGCAAGATCTATATGAAGAAAATGTTCCGATGGATCACAAAGTCAATTAAATAATAAAAGACTCAACATCAGAAAGATGTCAGCTTTTCCTTAAATTACTCTATTAACTTAATGAGATTCCAATTTTAAAAAACTTAATAGGGCCGGGCACAGTGGCTCACACCTGTAACCCCAGCACTCTGGGGAGACCAAGGCGAGCAGATCACTTGAGGTCAGGAGTTCAAGACCAGCCTGGCCAACGTGGTGAAACCCTATCTCTACTAAAAATATGAAAATTAGCCAAGGGTGGTGGCGAGCTACCAGCTACTTGGGAGGCTGAGGCAGGAGAATTGCTTGAAACTGGGAGGCGGAGGTTGCAGTGAGGTGAGATTGCACCACTGCACTCCAGCCTGGGCAACAGAACGAGACTGTCTCAAAAAAAAAAAAATTAATAGCATTTCTTTTGAACTAGACACATTGATTCTAACATTTATTATTTATTTATTTGTTTGTTTATTTTTGAGACGGAGTCTCGTTCTGTCACCTAGCCTGGAGTGCAGTGGCACCAACTCTGCTCACTGCAAGCTCCGCCTCCCAGGTTCACGCCATTCTCCTGCCTCAGCCTCCCAAGTAGCTGGGACTACGGGCGCCCGCCACCTCGCCCAGCTAATTTTTTGTATAAAATAGAGACAGGGTTTCACCATGTTAGCCAGGATGGTCTTGATCTCCTGACCTCGTGATCTGCCCGCCTCGGCCTCCCAAAGTGCTGGGATTAC